TTTTGATACAGCTGTGTCAGTTTGAAATTTGATTTTCCAATCAGTTCTAATAGTGTGTCTGCTGACATCGTTTTTTATTAAAGGCGCTTGATATGAAGTTAGTTAACAATTCAAATATTTAGAGTTTCAGGGCCCATCATCTTGGTTGTTAGGGCAATACCTCAATTTTCATATAGTGTTACTCTTTTCCAGAAAGATGGGTCACTGAATGATTTACATTTTATTGGTTTTTATAGAAACCAGTATTTCTGGTTATAAATGGTAAACATCTTTTAGTATTTGCAATAAGAAATACTGATTATGTTAGAAAAATGTAGAAATACTTTGATTTTAATATTCACTTCCTGTAAGTGCCTTCTGAGCAGAAGGTTTTCTGTTCATGGATTCTGCGTCTTGGATTTGGAAACTGTGTTGCACTGAGGTGTGGTCTGTAGGGAGGAGCCTGTGGGCAGAACAGTTTGGGTTCTGCTGGCCACCCTTTCTACTCTATTCACGAGGCTGGGTCCCAGAGAAAGATGACAGCAGTTAGGTCTTGCTGGGAAGAAAACACGGCTACCAACCCTGGACCATTTTGCCATCCCTGAACAAATGAGATAGTCATTTGCCTGCTTTTGGGGATGGTGTCTGGGGTGTGCACAAGATGACGTGGCATCTGGCTTGCCTGCTGGCCTGCTTGGTGGAGATAAGATGCTCAGACCCGCTGCTGCTGTTCAGGGATCATGGAAGTAATGATCGATCTTCCCTCTGTCCCCCAGTCTCATTTGCATGTCTCTGGAGCTGAGCATGTATTCTTTTTCTTTCTTCATCTCAATTGAGCTTTTAAATTAAATACGTGTTTGCTTAGCCTTTCAGAATGTTTTGCATTTGAAAAAACAAAAGGTAGCTGCCTCCGTGATTCATTCGCCCACCCCACACTGTGGCCTTGTAAGACAGTCCCCCCTTGGCTGCGCTGAGCCCATCTGGAGTGTTTCTGGTTCTAATCAGAAGTGGAACAGTTCAAGTGCATCTTACAGGTTCATGTTAGTGATGAACTTGGGTGGAGATGGTGACACAGCTAGTTCTCTAGATCCTGATCTGCCAGGTGCCTGGCCACTCCCGCCCAGAGCTCTGCCTTGGCGGAGCTGGTCACCGCTGTGTGTCCCGGGCTGCTGGCCTGCCTGTCATCTGCAGTGCACAGGTATGCATGTGTGCGCATATGTACATACAGCACACACATACCATGCCCACTGCACACATACCACACTCATAACCCATACACACCACACACTACATATGTACCATGCCCACCTCATAGATACCACACCCATACCCCATACACACCATACACAACACACATACACCCACCTCACACACCATGCACTACATTATACACCATGCCCACCTCACACACCCCACACATTGAATTTGTACGGATACAGCACATATGTATACTATACTATAACCACAGACATACTATAACCACCTCACATACACCATACACATATCATACCCACCTGACACACCAGGAACCTATCATATTCACCTCACACACACTACACACAACACACATATCATACACACACCTCACACACTACATAACACTTATAAACCATGCCCACCTGTCACACCCCAACATTTAACCCATATACACCACGCACGTCATTCCCACCTCACACACATACCCCTTACACATATCACCCACCTCACACACATACCCCATACATGCCACACACGACACACATACACACCTCACACACCACGTATATACCATGGCTACCTCAAACACACCACACATTTAACCCGTAGATACCACACACAGCACACATACCATGCCCACCTCACACACACCGTACACATATCATACCCATCTCATACACCACGCATGTATCATACCCACTTCTCACACATACCCCATACACATACCATATGCACCTCACACACATACCCCATACATGCCACACATACACGCACATACACACCACATACATACTATGCCTACCTCACCCATACCACACACTTAACCCATATATACCACATACAGCATGCATACCATGCCCACCTCACACACACCACACACTTAACCATGTACAACACACACCACACACGTCATATCCACACCACATACATTACACCCCCCTCACACACATACCCCATACACAGCACATACCTATTATACCTATCTCATACACACCATACGTGTAACCACCCCACACCACATATACACCATGCCCACTTCACACACCCCAGACATTTAACCCATAGACACCACATACACATTATTCCCACCTCACACACATATCCCATACGCAGTACATGCATATCATACCTACCTCACACACACACCATACACATAACATAGCCACCTCATACCACACACCACATATACACCATGCCCACCTCACACACTGCACATATTGAACCCATATACACCACACACACATCATTCCCACCTCACACACGTACCCCATCCATGCCACACACAACACATACCCACTTAACACACCACATATATACCGTGCCCACCTCACATGCCACACACTTACCCATATATAGCATACACACTGCACACACACATACCCACCTCACACACACCACACTTAACCCATATGTTACACATACACCACACCCATGTCATACCCACCTCACATACACTACACACATATCATACCCACCTCTCACACACCACAGACTTAACCCATATACACTACGTACACACCACACACGTATCATACCTCACACACACCACACACACTGCATATACACCACACAGACGCCACACACATATACCCACCTCACACACCACACACCATATATATGCCTTGCCCACGTCACATACACCACACATTTAACCCATATACACCACACATATCATACCCATCTCACACACACCGCACACATATCATACCCACCTCACACACACCACACACGTATCATACCCACCATACACAACACATACACCCACCTCACACACACCACACACATATCATGCCCACCTCACACACACCACACACATATCATATCCACCATACACAACAGATATATCATACCCGCCTCACACACATACCCCATACACACCACATGCATATTATAACCACCTCACACACACTGCGTATATTCCATTGCCCACCTCATACACACCATGCACTGAACACATATACATCACAGACACCACACACATATTATACCCACCTCACACACACCATACACTGCACAATACATATACACCATGCCCACCTCACACACTGCACATATTGAACCCATATATGCCACACTCACCACACACATACCCGATACACACAACATGCATGTAACCCTCACACACATCATGTATATACCATGCCTACCTCACACACACCACGCACTTATACACATCATGCACTTTTCACACGTGCCACACACTACACATATACCCCATACACACCACACACACCTTATATACACACAACACACATACCACACTCACTGCATAATACCATACATACACCACATACATTTAATACACACCACACACCCCATACATGCCACACACACACAGACACTTCATAAATACCCCATACACAGCAAACCACACTTGACCTACATATTACATCACCTGTACAACACACCACATTCCACCAGACAACTTACTCACACTACACAGATACCGCACACACAATATCATACATACACACACCATACATACCTCATGTACACGACACACATCCCATACACACCACATATACTACACACACCTCATACAACCACACAGTTACACACACCCCATACATACCATACACCACAAACACTACACCATACACATAAAGCATATGTACACACTCAACCCTTCCACACTGTATCATATTCCACACACTATCACATTCATATCACACACACCACATACCACACACCATACACAGTACACTACACACGCTCACCACACTTTCCAGGACTCCTTGCCACCATACACACACACAGCACACACTTCCTACTTCCCACACCACACACACTGTATCTCATGCACACACCACACACCCCTGCTACACACCTTTGCATGCAAACTACTCGTTTTGCATTCAAACTACTCCAATGAAACCAAACAATTTAGTTTTTCCCAAATTAATACTGCTCGTCTGCGCGCCCTGGCTGTGCTGGCTGGCACATCCCCTGGTCCTGCCTTCCCTTGGGTCAGCACCCCCTCCTGTGTTTTGGGTGTCTCTGGCTGTGCCCTGTGGAGTGCTCATGTTTGGATCGCCTGGGAGGCTGGCCCCTTTGCTCCACTGGCTGCTTTCCCGGAGGAAACTGGCCTGTTTGCCACCTTTCCTGATGCCCAGAGCAGCAGCTGGTGCAGGAAGACCCACTTCCTTCCCTTGGTGTCTGCCCTTCCCCATGGGACATTTTGTCTCAGTTCTGACATCTCCCCAGCTAGAAGAGAGACCCTCAAAGGTATGCAGGTCAGTTTCATTATAATGCTGATTATAACAATCGGTGTGTTTTTGTAAAACACTCAACCAGTGCATACATCTTTAATAAAGTAAAATGTGCACAGCCCCTCTGCTCCTACCTGTTTCCCCTCCCCTCCACTCCCCAGAGGACATGGCTGATAGGCCATTTGGGGCTCCCCCTTTCTGTGTGCCTTTGTGTCTGTGCATGGGCTGGGGATTGTGTGTATGTTCTCTAGCCATCTTGACAGAGCTGGAACTGGGATCTACACACGTGCGCTTGCTGTAGCTCACTTGTCATTTTCCCTCCAAAACAGGCCTTTAAGATCCCTCACTGTAGTGTGTTTTGTCCTGCCTCTTTAAAAATGCCGTCAACTCTTGCAGCGTGCAAACTCTGCCATCATTTATTTAACCATTCTTTTATTTACGAGTACTTAGGTCATTTCCAGTTTTTTAAAAGATGCTGCGGTGAAAATCTTCAGCCGTCGTTATTCACGTTGCTGTGGGAGAATGTGGTGGGAGGCGCCATGGGGGTGAGTGATCCCATGTGTGGCCAGGCTTTGTGAGGTTTTGACTCTGTCCTTCCCAATGTTCCCCCTACAGTGGCTGCTTCGGGTGATGATGGCTGTGTGGGTGCCCACCATGGCCCACCGGAAGTGTGAGTGTGGGGAGCAGCATGTTGGACCACAGGGTGAGGCCAGGCCCTGTCTCCCATGGCCAGGAGCGAGGACGTGGAGCTGCCCTAGGAGGGCTGTGTGCCCGAGGGCCAGGAGCTGGCTGCCCTGTGGCCAGAGATCTTCATGCCCAAGGAACAGGAGTGCTGCTACCATAGCCGCGATGGGGACTCCAGCTCCTACTATGTGAATAACACCTCTGAAGAGGAAGACTGCGACAAGAGCTTGCCTGAGGAAGAGGGCATCACCTATATATCTGCTACTGCCGCGAGGATGACAGCTACCTGGAGGGCATGGACTACAACTGGGAGGAGTACCTGGCCCACGGCATGCACCCTGTGGACACTGATGAGTTCCAGGAGGCGGTGGAGGAGTGGGTGGAGGGCAGACTGGGCAGACCTGCACCTTTACTGCCATGGGGCAGAGGGAAGCCAGGATTACTCGGACGGCCACCTGCCCATCCTGGAGGATGAGCCCTCTGTCCTGGAGGCCCATGACCAGGAAGAAGATGGCCACTACTGTCCCAGCAAACAGGGCTACCGGGATTGCTACCCCATGGAGGCCAATGGGAGCCCCAGTGCCTCCCTCTACCACCTGAGGTGTGGGGATGGGGACCTGGAGGACCAGGAGGAGGACATCAACCAGATCATGGCCGAGATCAACATGAACCTGAGCATGACCAGCATCACTGGCACCAGTAAGGCCAGGGATTCTGCAGAGGCTGGCCTGCCTGCCCGCCCAACAAGGCCAGCTGCAGCCCCAGGAGGCACAAAACGAGGCCCAAGTCACTGAACCTCCCTCCTGAGACAAAGCACTGTAGAGACCCCCAGAGAGGCTTCAAGCCCAAGATCAGGACCCCAGAGGAGAGGCTGAAGTGGCCCCATAAGCAGGTAGGACTCTGGCTGTCTCAGGGAAGGGAGCAGAGGGGCCCAAGAGCAAGAAATGTCCTGGTACAGCCCCCACAGATGCTGAAGTGAGGCGGTGGGAGGGGTTGCGTGCCTTGCAGTTCTTTTTTTTTGTTTTTTGTTTTTGTTTTTGCCTTGTGATTCTAATGGTGGATGAGCTCTTCATTGGTGCAGTTGCCAGGCATGTCGTGTGGATGCTCCGGCCACTCTTACGCTCACCCCTCAGACTCAGGAGTAAAGTCTTGTTGAAGACTGATTGGCAGCTAGTTTTTGGCAGAAGATGCCCCTCCTCCCATCTAGAAGTAGTTTGATATCTTCCCCACTACCCTGAATCTGCTTATGGTGGGAGAGTGTCTGTGGGAGAGCCCCTTAATTCTCAGGGGTGTACTTGTTCCAGCAAGGCAGTGGCAAAGATATGGCCAGTGGCGGGTGGCTGGTGGCCGGGGTGGGGCCTGGAGTGTATTTCATAGTGGAGAAGTCTCTGAAAGCCTGGGGACCTTGGCCTGATGGGCAGTTAGCTGTGAATAACTATTTGGAAAAGGATCTTGCAGATCTGATCTTACAGGTTTGTTACATAGGTATACACATGCCATGGTGGTTTGCTGCCTCCATCTCCTTGCCACCAACATTAGGTATCTCTCTCATAATAAGAATGATGGTTTCTGGCTTCATCCACGTCCCTGCAAAGAACATGAACTCATTCTTTTTTATGACTGCATAGTATTCCATTGTGTATATGTGCCACATTTTCTTTAGTCTATCTTCAATAGGCATTTGGGTTGGTTCCAAGTCTCTGCTATTGTAAACAGGGCTGCAGTGAACATATATGTGCATGTGTCTTTATAATAGATCGATTTATAATCCTTTGGGTATATACCCAGTATTGGGATTGCTAGGTCAAATATACAAGAAAAAAACAACCCCGTCAAAAAGTGGATGAAAGATCCGAATGGACACTTTTCAAAAGAAGACATTTATGAGGCCAGCAAACATATGAAAAAATGCTCCTCGGCTCTGGTCATTAGAGAAATGCAAATCAAAACCACATTGAGTTACCATATCACGCCAGTTAGAATGGCGATCATTAAAAAAATTGAGACAATGGATGCTGGAGAGGATATGGAGAAATAGGAACACTTTTACACTGTTGGTGAGAGTGTAAATTAGTTCAACCATTGTGGAAGACTGTGGTGATTCCTCAAGGATCTAGAAATTGAAATATATATAAATAATTCTTTAACATACATAATCTATATCTTAGAATATAGAATATAATTCTTTAATATAATCTGTATCTTAGAATATATTTATAAATATCAGACATAAGACATGCAAATATTTTCTTTTATTCTGTGGATTGCCTTTCCACTCTTTTGAAAATACTCTTTGATGCAAAATAGTTTTAAATTTCAAATAAGTGTAATTTATCTACTTTCAATTTAGTTGCCTGTGTTTTTGGTGTTTCATCTAAGAAAGCTTTGCCAAATGCAATGTTACGAACCTTTCCATTCTGTTTTCCTCTAAGACTTTAGTACTATTAGCTGTTGCATTTACCTCTTTGATCCAATTTGAGTTAATTTTTTGTATACGGTGTAAGGTAAGCATCTAACTTTTTGGCATATAGATATCCAGTTTATGCAGGATCACTTTTGTTCAAAAGACTGTCTGCTTTGTCTGTGTGTTTTTGTTCCCCTAAAGTTTATATGTTAAACCCTAACCCCCTTGATAATGGTATTAAGAAGTGGGACCTTGGAGAGGTGATTAGTTAGGTCATAAAAGTTTCATCCTCATACATGGGATTTGTTCCTTTATAAAAGAGGCTGAGGCCGGGAGCAGTGGCTCACTCCTGTAATTCCAGTATTTTGGGAGGCTGAGGTGGGTGGATCACCTGAGGTCAGGAGTTTGAGACTAGCCTGGCCAACATGGTGAAATCACGTCTCTACTAAAAATACAAAATTAACTGGGCTTGGTGATGTGTGCCTGTAATGTCAGCTTCTCTGGAGCCTGAGACCAGGAGAATTGCTTAGAATCTGGGAGGCAGAGGTTGCAGTGAGCTGGGATAGCACCACTGCCCTCCGTCTTGGGTGACAGAGGGAGACTGTCTTTAAAAATAAAAGGCATAAAGAAGCCTGTTTGCCCATTCAGCCATGTGAGAACACAACACATAGAAGGTGCCATCTATGAGGAATAGGCCCTCATCAGACACTGAGTATGCTGATGTCTCGATCTTGGACTCCTCAGGCTGTAGAACTGTGAGGAATAAATCATGTTGTTTACAAATTGCCTGGTCCAAGTTATTTTGTTATAGAATCCCAAATAGTTTAATACACAGTCCTTTCCTCATTGAATGTTAGTGCCTGTGTCAAAAATAAATATGATGATTTATTTTTGGAGTCTCTACTATATTCCATTGGTATATGTGTGTATTTTCGTGCCAGAACCACACTAATGTGATTATTATAGCTTTGCAGTAAAATTTGAAATCAGAAAATATGAGGCATACAACTTTGTTCTTCTTCATCAAGATTATTTTGGCTACTCAGGGTCCCTTGAATTTCATAGGAATTTTTTATACTTTTTTCTATTTCTGGAAAAAAAACTTTGGGAATTTGGATAGGGATGAATACTTTGGGTTGTATTGACATCTTAACAATGTTACCTTTTCCAATTCATGAGCAAAGTTGTCTTTCCATTTATGTATATCTTCTTTAATTTGTATCAGCAATGTTTTATAGTTTTCAATGTATTAGTCTTTACATCCTTGATTGTATTTATTATAAATACTTTATTATTTTCTATAAAGTTATTTTCTTGCTTTCTTTTTCAGATTCTTCAGTGGTAGTGTATGGAAATGATTTTTTTTTTTCCAGTCCCTGATGTAGCCATCCTAGCAATTGATTTTTATGTGGTAGCTTTTTTAATTCTTCTACTTTGTTTAATTTATCTGTTATACAGCATTGGGTAGAGTTGTGAGGCTCCCAGTCCAGGCCCTAACTCTTAAGACTATATTCCTGGACATACCTTGGGCCAAAAGGGAACCTACTGCCTTGAAGGAAAGGCCCCATCATGGCAGGATTTATCTTCTGCTGACTAAGAGCCTTAGGGTCCAGAATAAACAGCAGTGATATCAAACTATGGGCCTTGGGCTCCTAGACATGCTGGCTTCAGGGGTAACCCAGCATATTTGCAGCGGTGATGGCTATGGCAAAAGACTCCTGATGTCTGAGAAAAACAGAGGGAAAATTAAAGGGAACTTCATCTTGCATCTTAGGTACCAGCTTGGCCACAGGGTGGCAGAGCAAAAAGTAGGCTCTTGGGGTCCCTGAGTCTAGGGCTAGGCTCTTGGACAGCATTTCTGGACCTGCTTTGGGCCAGGGGACCCTCTTCCCATGTGTCAGGGGAGGGATCTGGTGAAAGGTGATTAGATTATGGCAGCAGATTTCCCCCGTGCTGTTCTTAGGATAGTGAGTGAGTTCTCATGAGATCTGATAGTTTAATAAAAGTGTAGCACTTTCCTCATTCTCTTTCTCTCTTGCCACCATGTAAGACATCCCTTGCTTCCCCTTTGCTTTCCACCATGATTGTTAAGTTTCCGGTGGCCTGCACAGGCCATGTGGAACTGTGAGTCAATTGAACCTCTTTTCTTTATAAATTACTCAGTCTCAGGTAGTTCTTTATAGCAGTGTGAAAATGAACTAATACACCAGGCACAGTAAGACAGACTTCACATTTTCTCATTTATTTGTGAGATGTACAAATCAAAACAGTGAACTAATAGAGAAGAAGAGTAGAAAGATGGTTATCAGAGGCTGGCTAGGATAGTAGAGGGTGAAGCATATGTGGGGATGGGTAATGAGTAACAAAAAACAAAGAATGTAGAAGACTAGTCATTTACATTTACTTGGTTTTCTTGACTGGTCATTTACTTTTACTTGGTTACTGAACACATGGTCTGTTTTTCAGAATTTAGCCACTTTCAGTTTTTTTATTATTATTTTTTATTTTATAATACATCTGTGGGTGGTGTGGACTGGGAGTATCCTAGTCTTCCGTGTTGCAGATGTCGCTTTTCTCAAGTGAATAGATTTAAATGCAATCCATAAATTGATGATTCTCAACTTGTCATCTCCAAGGAAGTCTTACTCTGAATCTCAAAGTCATATCCAATTGCCTTTCTGACATCTCATTTTAAGTTAACTCATAATCTGCCTCACTGTCTTAAATTTACTCCTGCTACCTGCTTTCTCTGAAATTTTGCATTTCTAAAACTGTATAAAAATGAAATCATGCAGTATGTGTACTTTTTTGTCTTCTCTCATTCAGCATAATTATTTTCAGATTAATCTCTATATTGTAGCATTGATTAATGATTTATTCCTTTTTTATTGCTTAATAATAAGTATGAATATAACACATCCATTCACTTGTTGATAGCAATTTGGGTTGTTTCCACTTTCTGGCTATAAAATAAAGTTGCAGTGAACATTAATATAGGAATCTTTGTATGAACATAGGCTTATATTGTTCTTGGCTACATCCTTAAGAATGGAATGATTATATCATTTTTTAATCCCAAAAAAACCTGCCAAACTTACATAAAATAGTTGTATGATTCAGATATCTGTTACTTAGTCAGCTTTGGTAGTTTGTGATTCTAGGAATTTTTTCATTTCATCTATGTTTTCTAATTTGTTGTTAGACAATTGTTAATTTTATTTCCTCAATAACCCTTTTATTTGTCTAAGGTCAGTAATAAAGTCCTCACTTTTATTTCCAGTTGCAGTAATTGAATATTTTGTCTCTCTCCATCTGTCTCTCCCCTTCCTTCTCTCTTTTTGCTCTCTCTCCTTTTCTTGGTGAGTCTAACTATAAGTTTGTCAATTCTCCTAATCATTACAAAGTACAAAGCGTTATTTTGTTGATTTTTCTCTACATTTTTCTATTCTCCAATCTATTTACTCTCACTCTGATCTTTACTGTT